TCACCTCTCCCTCCATGGCAGGCTAGCCTCCCTGGCTAGAGCTGTCCCCTGGGAATTTGCCGTCACTTTCCCTCTCTGTGCTCAGCATCCCTGGTTGAGAGGTTTAGGAGGAAGAGGAGAGGACGAGAGGAGGAGAAGAGTCCCTCTCTTCCGCCCACATGCTCCCCTAGGGAAGCATTCTTTTTGCTCAGCGTGATTTCTGTGCGACTCCTCCTGTTTTCTGAGCCTGTCACCGCCTTCCTCTTCCCTTGGCTCCCCACTGACACTTTCCAGAGTGCAGCCACCTCCCCTCACTGTGCTTTTTTGACTCTGAGGCCCAGGAGGAAGTTGCCCTCCTCTGGAGAGGGTTCGCGTTTGATCCAGCCTAGTGTTCTGGGGCACGGCCAGTCTGGGATCGCTTTGACCCTAATTCACGGTTTTCCTTCAGATGCTTCTTGTTCAGCCTGCCTTCCTCGTCTAGGAAATGGCTTTTGCCTGTTTCTCTTTTTCTTTTCCTTTTTTTTTTTTTTTTAGATGGAATTTTGTTCTTGTTGCCTAGGCTGGTGCAATCTCGGCTCACCACAACTTTCGCCTTCCAGGTTCAAGTGATTCTCCTTCCTCAGCCTCCCCAGTGATGGGATGACAGATATGCACCACCATGCCTGGCTAAGTTTGTATTTTTAGTAGAGATGGAGTTTCTCCACGTTGGTCAGGCTGGTCTGGAACTTCGACCTCAGGTGATCCACCTGCCTCGGCCTCCCAAAGTGGTGGGATTATAGGCATGAGCCACTGTGCCCGGCTTGCCCATTTTTCTATTGAGTCACTTGCTTTGTTGGTATGGAGTTGTAGGAGCTCTTTCTGAATTCTGCCTCAAACCCCATGTTGGTTTTTTTGTATTTCAGAGACCACATCCGCCCAGGGGCTTACTCTTCCGTCTCTTTGCAGGGCTGTTTTGGACTCAGTATTCACCTAAGCACTCCAAATTGTAAGTAATCCCAGAGGTCATGGAGTGTCCCACTGCCCCTCCTTCTGGAGGCTGTGGCACCTCCCCCAAAGAGGAGGTGCTTGCATGTGTCCAGTGCCCTGCCCATTAGATTAGACAGGGCTCCCTTCTTTGCTCCCTTGCACTCATTTGTCCGCCTTTTAGCTTTCCTTTTCTGCCCTGGACTCACACAGGGTCGCGTGAACGTGTGGTGTAGCAGGAGGAGACAGGTAAAGTGGAGGAATAGGAGCTGGAGGGGAGCAGGAGGAAAGAAAAGAGGAGGGGGAGGGGGAAGAG